TTATCAACACTGTTTCCAGCACAAATCCAAAACATAGCCCCGTACTAGCTACTATGAAGACAATTAACTCTACCCCAGCCAAAACCAGCACTCATACAAAAGCTGTAAGCATTCAGAGTAAGGTCTTCCAAAACCGTCTGTGACTGCAAGCCGTGGCATCAAAATAACTACACGAAGAAACGTGAGTGGCAGCCGCCTGTTAGACCTGGGGCCAGCTGCATGATGCCGCTGGGACACTTGAATTGCTATTATGCGGCTTTTTACAAGCCCAGTCGCCCCACTACTCACTGCTTAGGGCGGTGAGGCTTTCAGGACGGATTCTTAATTGGATGAAGGATGGTTTCATCTGGGTGTCAAAAGTGCCAGGCCCTGTGGGTTGCCTTGAAACTTCAGGTGCTTTTAAAAATTCCTCTGTGCTGAGATTGTAAGTACTTTTGTACCACTTGAAGTGGTACAAAATAACACACACACACACACTCTTTTTTTCTTGGTGTGTTCTTTCACCGATGGTGCCTGTTGCTTAAAATTGTCCACTATAGGCTGTCTTCTTTTAGAGGACTTCGAGAAGCCGTCTAAGTGATAAAATTATCCATTGTGTAAAACCCAATCTTTTTCTTTCTTTCTTTTGTGGACAAACAGCAGAAATATCTAAGGGCCCTCTGCTGTGATCATGTGCTGTTTTTTATTGAGGGGGAGATGAGGGTAGTGAGTCTTCACTAAAAGCTTCAAAATGTTAATTGGCCATATCTGAAGTGGTGCCAAGTGAAGGGTGCAAGCGAATCACTCTCCCTTTCCTTCTCAACAGTTGAACTTTTTTCTTTTACTTTTTTTAAGCGCTGGAGGCGTCACGATCCCCTGCTTGCTTCTGCACGTAGGCACAGCATGACCTGACTTTCCCATTTTGAAAACAAGCTTTTTAAGATCATCTCACAGGTGCCTTCCAGATGTCATGAAGGAAAGCACAGCATTTACACTTTTGATTGTCAGTTTAAAACAAGCCAAAACCACCTTGAACTCCCCCAAACTTTGTAGCTACACCTAGAGCAGCTTGCACTCACTTTTTGATGTACAACATTTGATTTACAGAAAAAAAACACACTTCTTTAAAATTACTTTTTTCACAGCAGCCGCACCTGTGCTAAACATTTGCAGGTGGCAGTCAGCCACAGCCACTGAGTGGGCGTTTTTGCAGCAGGGTGAGCTTTGGTCTGTACCTGGGGCACAGTCTGAGCTGAACGTTTAACCCAAGCTGTGGTTTTCTGCCCTCGGCCCCGCTGGCTGCAGCACAAGGCTGAGGACCAGCTAACGCCGAGCACCCGCCCTCCCGCCAGCCCTGGCTCTGCTGCTGCTCAGGCCAGCCCTTGCTCTCTGCGGAGGCTGATGGACAAGTTCTGAAGGTGACTGCGTTAAAAACATTCTCGTAGCTGAATTTCAGTATGGTTTTTGTATTACTTGTTCCTGGTTTATTCTGGTTATGTTACTCTCGCCCTCGTGGTCCTGGATACCTTACTGTTGGCTGCAGTGAAACGGCAAATTTTACCTATGTTAAGTTTCTGTGTGCGTATTGTTTTGATTTCAGCATGCGTACGTGCTGTTGAAATGCTGCGTACCAGTTAAAAGAAGATGGTTATTTCAGACTAATGGTATTCCTGAGGAAAGCCATAGAACAAAATGTGTTCAGAGAAATTTGATTGCAGCTTTAGTTTTTCAGATTTTTCAATCCAGAGTAGTTGTTGGCAGCGGCATTCTTGGTAATATTCTCTACCGGAAGCGTACCTGCAGAAGAAACTAAAAGTTGTACAGCGGTGGTACTGCCAGAACCTCCACAAGTGTTGTAGCGCTAACAGGGCTGTCGGGGCTGCTTAAACAAGCTAGATAAGGGTATGCAAATACCTTTTTAAGGTTATTTTTAGGCATTATTGCTAAAGTTACAACTTCACACCTCCATATCGTCGTTGAGTCTCTCTCTCAAGATTAAAACACATTTTCAACAGAGAAGTTACTTGGAAAATGACTGTAAATTTTTATTAGTACAGCTAGAAAGAAACACATCTGCTTGACTGCGTGACACTGCTTCCATTTGGAGCTACAGCTGCGGTAGAAGTAAAACCAACAATTGTTACCTTACAGTGAGGCTACACTTGTAAGAGAAACAGCATAATTGTGATCGTAGCCGTTATGTCAGCACACAGGGAAAGGCTCGGTACAGTGGAAGGAGTATGTTTGCCTATTTCATGTGCACACATAAAAAAAGCAGTATAAAAATACATTTATAAAATTACAAATTTCCTCTTTACATGGAATGTTGAGTCAGACACAGTTGCGGGGAAGGAAAAGACCCAACTGCTCCCTCCTACAGCCATTTGGGATGGGGCTCAGCCTGCAATTTCTTTGGACTGATCCCATACAGGAGGGGGCTGGACCATATGTTTAAGCAGGACTCTCCCTCATTTCCTGGGGGGGACTGCTTGGAGACTGGTGGCAGGCCAAACCCAGTTAATTAAAATGTGTAATTACATATTATCATTTGGTAGTGCTAATATCTACATGAAATGATTGTATGTACTCCAGTGCTTTACAAAATTCAAAGCTGCTAACCGCTTCATCTGGTGGAGAGATGTCAGGCTGGGCTGTTCACTTCACAACAGCACCCCTTTGCTTTTACTTCTGGAAAACAGACCTCGCTGAAACCTGCCTGTCACCAGACACGTCAGACGGGCGGCGGGGCGGGCTGGCTCTGACAGCCCCTGGGCCGCCTGCTCCGGTGACTCTGAGTAACCGGCTCCGGGACTTTGAATGGTGCTGCCCTACAGCTGCAGAGATCCTGGCCCCCGAGAAAAGCTAAAGTGGGGGGCTGAGAGCTCCAGCTTCCGTGTCCTTGAGGCAAGGGCATCAATAACCTGCTTCATCTGTAATCTACGTGCACTGGAAAAACATGGTCACAGCTGCTTTCTCTCATTTATAGCTGGGGGAAGAAGAGCATTTATATGTTATAATAAAAATAAAATCCTTAATATATTAAAAAAAAAAAACCCAGACCAAACCCAAACCTAGCAAAGCCTAGAAGGGTTTTCTTTCTGAGCATGAAACAGTGATGCAATAGTCACTTAAATAGAGTTTCAGAATCCATACCATAAATATTGAATATTTATTAATAATGCTGTCTAGTACGTCTAACGTTAGGCATGTTAAAGGAGAAGATACGGAAATAAGAGGTAAACCTTCACTAAAGCAATAGTCAGATCTATGTAGAATAGTTGTAACATGATTAATAGTACCTGAAATGTTAGTTAGCGCTTTTAATGCGTGTTTCCACATACGGCAGTCACGGTATTGACAAGGCCCTGCCATGTTGTCATGGGGGCATGCCAGAGGTAGCAGAGAGGGTAATTACATGCCTTAGGCTGGATTCACAGCAGACCAGGCAAAACACGCAGATTTTGAAGGCATTGCTCCCTGGTGAAATTCATCCTGTAATCCTCAGGTTCCAGATTCCTCCTACTCTGGCCTCCCAAAAGCTGTGAGCTGCGCAGGACGTCGCCTACAGCAGTTGATAAGACACACCTCCCCTCTAGCACCATAAAGAGGTGCCAAGCTCCATCATAATGTTTTTCAACCAGACTCTCTTGGAGCCAAGGCTTAGCCTCTTACCTACTGCACAGAGCACTCCGCCATCTGGCTACCAAGCACTGGAGCGGGGCTCTTTGGGCCTTTGCTGATGAAGCTGTTGTACCTTGCTTAACATATTTCTGATATTCATTTGAACAGAAGTTGGAATCCAAGTCATCTATCATTCAGATTTCTTTCTGCCTTTTTCTTTCTCCCAATTGTTCAATCTTGCTAAGCAAAATGAAACTTTCAATGCAAGATACTAGCTCAGATCTATCCAAAAATACCCAGTTTCCCAGTATTTGGGATACTGCTCACACTGCATCTTTTGCATTTTAAATCTGCATGTTCCTGTATCTCGCCAGATGTTCGAAGTAGCTGACTCTAAGGGGGGAAACCATTGCAGTGGCATTGCCAACCCTGTTACATTTTTAGAGGGATGGAGAAGTTCAATGCACACTTTATAGGCTGAACATACTATACAAAATGGGGGAAAAAGGCAGTGGGGCGTAAGTTTGATAAATGTGCTAATCGGTGTAGTGCTGTCAGGACATGGGTGTTTCCTGAACACATTAAAACATTGGAAGCTTCAGAAAATTAAGGGGTAGAAACTGTCGAAAGAGTCTGAACAACTAAGTTTTGGTCTCGGGTGCCTCAAATGGTAGCTATGGGTCTGTTGGCCTACTGGTCCCTCCATCACCCCGCAGAGATACCCAAGCTGGCTCTGGGAACAGAAGCTGTGGAGTCAGGATGGTACAAGGTTATGCCCATGCAAGTTAGCTACCCTGAGGGACAGAATGCATTAGCTCAGGCACACCAGCAGCACACGGCTACGCACCTTTGGAGACCTGCGCGTGTACTTTGATGTGCCCTGTGCCACATGGACGTACAAACCCGTCGATCTCCCCCACACCCTCCAGCGTGTGGTGCGGCCATGCCTGGTGGTGTCCTTGTGAATATACGTCCCGTCAGTGCCGTCTGAATGCACTGAGTTCATTCCTCATGACAAGGAGTGAAAACGCACGTGCTCCTAATTGAATAGTATTAAAATAGGTTATCTAAAAAGGTTTTTCTAGTCTGTGCTACTGCTTAGTTAGAATAGCTGAAAGGCAGAAAGTGGCTGATTTTTTTCTTTTAAGCCTTTTGCTGTGTTTGGAATAGCACCACAACACAGTTAAAAGAAAAGTCAAAAGGATTATTAATTCTACCCCAAAGTATATTCCAGCAGAGGGTTTACCGTTAACATACACTGCATATTCCATAGCTCCACAACAAGAATAGATAGAGCTTGAAACTCCTTTTCATAGAGTTTCTCGACTGCAAAATCTTCAGTGTTGAAGTGCTGATTCCTTTTTTCTTTTGTCTGTCAGCACAATTCTTACCATCTGGAGTTAGTTTAGCAGAAAGGTGTGGATGTATATTTGTCTTTCAATCCACTCAATAAAATGTGACACATTACTGTAAACTCCAGGTCCCAAAACCTTGGAAAAGCAGACAGAGCCCCAAGACGTTAAACCAAACAAAGTCCAGCGCCCTGCAGGTTGCTCGCACACAAGCGGTCCTCCACTGTCACCCTGCAACATGAAAGAAAAAAGTAGTCTATAGGGGCTACACGTGGCCAGTGGTCATATGGTTAAAGCTATGTCTCAGTTCCTACAGCGATTTGCCTTTAGTAAGTAACAACTTGGCTGTAAAAACTGGCTGCTCTGCTGAACGATGTAGCAGCACACAGCGTTACCGGTATTTATTCCCTGTCACATTTGTACAAAAAATTACCTGCAAAAGGCTCATACAAATTAAAAAAAATCAGTGTAATAGTTAACTAATACAGATAAACCTTAGAGTCTTCATGCAGCATTTCATTATAAACCGAAGTTGATTACACCAACAATAATAATAAAAGTTGGGTTAAAATGTGTAAGAAACTGTTGTCATTCCTATAGTAGATGAAGTGTGCTATACTAATAAACATCATAGTACTTTGATTTCTAAAAGCAAGTCTGGCTGCGGGTGTCTCCTTAGAGAGAAGCCTACCATGCAAGAGTCCACAGTGCCAGACTCATAGCCAGCACACAGCATCCTGCTGGTGATGGTTTTCATGTCAAAGTATGACTGGCATTGTTCTAAGGAAATGATGCGAACCTCTCCTTCTTGAAGCTTGAAAGGCACTGAAAAACAGAATTAAGCATTAAACGATACACACAGAAACACACAAATACTTAGCTATGATGGCTCTTTGAGATACGATAAATATTTCCATTAGGATAGATGATAAATATTACTTTTTATATATATAAAAAACATGTAAGGAGAGAATAATCCCCCTTTAGCACAAAGCTAAGGTGAAAGCAGGTGGTTTTTTGCACTGCAAAACGCCAGGAGTATGCGTGTTGCATTCTGCAGAAGGACTAAGCACATGGGGACTGGTGTGACACTTGCTGTTCATCGTGCAGTCGCACTGACAGCCTGAGGAGGGGGAGCACCTTTACATGATATGGTATGCGACTTTTAAGATGGGGGCCGTATTGGCTGGAAAACAGTAATGTGAGGGAGGTGGAGGAGAGGTTTGACTCATTGTTCCATGGCAGGATCCCCCTGTTTCTCGGTGCCTCTCATGGTAAAGTTTGGTATAATCACAGCCATTTTGAGTTATGTTTGGGTAAATTTGACTTAGAGAGTGTATCAGGCAATCAGAATTCAAAGGTTACTGAAATTATTTTAGCGCATTCGGGAGACAATAAAGGACTCCTTCCTGGTCTAAACAGCTGACCAAGCTCCAGTTCTAAGGAAAGTTGTTCAACCTAGGGCATGAAGTAGTAAAAGCTGTGTAGCCATGATGGTTTTTGATGCTTCATAACATAAAACCTTTAAAAGCAACGCTGAAACCTCATTAGAGAACAAAGAACCTTTTTCCACTTACTAGTGGTGCAAAAGCATTCTGTGGGTTTTTTTTCCCTGCCATTACATAAAAGATAGTTTTAGATGGGTAGAGCTGCTAGTAAACAGCCTATCCCTCACATGTGCAATTTAATTTTTGCCACATGTCTGACCTGGCCACCAGAGGTGAAGTCCCACCTGAAGCAATTCTGAAAGGAAAATTTCCTTCTCCAGTGTACAGAACGACAGCCTTCCCTAGTAATTATTATAATAGCAAGGGGAGAAACACAACGGCTAGAGCGTTAACAGGGTTGGGGCCAGGACAATTTGCATACGATGCATGCAGAATCGTTTTGTCAAAACAAAGATGTACATAACACAACTGTTCTTGTCACGGGACCCAAGGATTGCAGTGGCCACAGGACAAGAAAACACACCCATGTTCTGTTCAGAGAGACAAAAACAACACTTGTGATTATGCCTGGATGGAATAAATTATGTCACAAGTCCAAAGTGTGACACAGAGCATTGATTCAAGAAAACATTCGTTTAGGCTGTATGCCAATGCTTTCAGTGCCTTCCGCTTTCACTGAACTAAGAATGTTGCCCATCCCCGATGATCTGATTCCTTCTCAATACAGTTCTGAATACAACCTAAACCAGTAAAATGATAACCAGTCCAGGTGACTTTCTTGATAGGAGTTTCTAGGTCCTCAAAATTTTTGAAAATCAAGCCACTTGTCTAAATAAGGATTAAGGAGCATACATTCAGGCTGCTGATTTGAAAAAGCTAGGCTCTAGTCACAGCTAGATCCCTTCATGGGTAGTTACAGTTCCCTAGTATTTAATAAGGTCCATTTAATATCCATTTAATAAATGGATAAAGCTTTGTAATGGGATCACTTATTTGATTAACTCAGCAGAAAGTCACATTTTCCCAAGAGTCCCAGATATACTCATCTTACTTTTGTTGCCCATGTGTCCCCAGCCTGTGATGTAGCAGTAGGTATCTGGCCGAACCAACTGGTCCTTGCTGGGCAAACAGACAGGTCTTACATAGCTTGTCTTGTTGATATCCTCATCTAGTTCCACAATGCTGATATCATAGTCTACGACTGCTCTGTTGTAGCGTGGATGGAGGATAATGGTCTTCACTAGTCGGGTCTGCATGAAGCCTGATGGATGATCAAGATTGCTAATCCCAAACACTACTTTCCAAACAGCTGCGTTTTCTCTCCTTTGTAAAAAAACCAAAAAAATGGGAAATTTCAATCAAAAATACCCGAGAATTTTTTGTCCCTGACTTTTTTGCACATTGCACGTTGCAAAGCATTGCACATACAAATGCTACAAGAAGAAACAAATACTTCGGCATCATTACTTACAGCTAAGATCTGAGCAACAAGAGACAGTGCTTTCCATTTCCTTCCTGCCGGTTACCAAACGGATTAAAGCTCACACCTTCAGAAGGCATGTAACCACCTAGTAGTTGCTGTATGAAACACCAAAGGCTCTCAGAACCATCCCTTGGGTCCTGCCCAAGTCTTAAGTGCTCACATGCTCACTGATGGACATGTACAAATTTCTCTGGGGTGACAATATTGTTCACTAGTATGCTGCTGACAGCAGTAAGTCTAGCTAAAATCCCAAAGGAGTCTCAAAGAGGCAATTCTATTATGAAAATGAAATCTTTTATGATAGCCATGAGAAAAGTTCCTTATTTATTGGGCATTCAGTCTGTGCCAAGCATACTTCCTATGCCTAAGATCAAAGGTTACTTTGACTCTTACAATTGCTTAAGACTCTTTTGGTAAATATACAAGATCACAAAAAAATTATGCGTATGATACAAGTGGGAAGGCTGAACTAGTGTCTGTTGTGACACATGAGAAAAACACAGACTTTATGAAAGTCTTTGAGGGTGTAATCTCTTGATCGTAATTGGTCACAGGATAAGTCATGGGTTCCTAATTAGTCTGTGATTCTAAAAACCCTCAAAAAAGTCAGCATTTGTCACAACTGATGAAAGACAGTTCCATGTAACTAAGCACCTTTGACAAGATCGAAGCTTAATCAAAGCAGGGTAAATCAAAGCATGCAAAATTTCAGCTTTTTCACAGTACTCAACAGGACTGTAATTTCTATAATTTGTAAAGAGATCTGGTTGTTAAATAAAGGCTACTTTTATCTTAAGAGTTGCATGAAAATTCTGATATTTCAGACTATAATGATCATTTTGCCATCACGATCAGTTTGCGAGTTTTTCCATAAAGTTACAAGATTAAGTGCTATGAATATTCATACGCTAGTGTGTTTACACGCATTGTAAAAAAGCATCGCTCAGAGCAATGAGCAGTCACAGCCAGAATGCATTGTCCTACAGTCGAGAAAAAATCCTTAATGTCTTGGATGCTTTGGTGTAATGCATTTCAAAACAGTCTTGACAAAACTCCGGGGATTATACTAAGAAAACTAGCAAACGACATGATGTTTTAATGTAGTTCTTTCAATTTATGGCCTCTACAAATATTCATGACTATTTGCATTAATACTTTCTGCTGCATAATTGTTACATGGTCCTCATATTTTGTAACCCAAACTTCACACAAACTTCATAAAATACTTCACAAAATGGAGCATTTTGTCTAAAGTGCCAGAGCACTTTAAAATCTGTTTTAATTGTTGGTTTATCTGGTTGGTTTGGTAGATTTTTAAATACTTTCTATAAAGAAAACTCTGTGTCATCAAGAATGATCTTGCTGTTGCTGTATCAAGCTATACAAATGAAGAATTTAAAGATTTCAGGCTGCTGGGAACATATCCTCAAATCTATTTGGAGAGGCAGAAGTGAAAAAAGTTCATATAATGAATTATTAAACCAAAATATCTTAGTACTTTAAGGCATTTAGAATACAAATGCGAAAGAGACCTTTTACACGTAATACTCTGAGCTCACATAGATATATAGCCCTAAATGAGGGGTAAATGAACAGCTCCAAAATGTAGTGGCATTTGACAAAAGCGGGAGAATTTTTACTTCATAAATTTGACGCCTTCTTTGCTTATCTTTCGCTAAGGAGAGTAATCTCTTACCTGTGAAATTCAGTAGCAGTCCAATATTGCTGAAGGATCTACCTCTAAATCCCACCCTTTATTTTAGATCACCAGAAAAAGTTCTTCGAAAGGTAAAGAAATATTCCAGACAGTGCTTAGCTTTATTTAAAAATAGATGGGGAAAGAAGACCATGACAAGACAATTCCGAAGACGCATAAACTTCCTCTGCACTCCAGACTGTCCATCCACCACAGGGCTTCAGAAACTAGGAGGCACCAAGTAGTGGTTAATACTGGCCTTTTAATGATTGCAATCCTGATAAAGGAGTGGAGTGTTTATAATCAGAAAAGGCAGTGACTTCGCTATGTCACTTGCACTGTGAGTAAATACTCATTTTTTATTTTTACTAATGGCCACAGCATTTTTCCAGGGTCATTTCTATGCTGGTGCCCAGAATGATTTTTTAATCTATGGCATTTGTATGAAAGCTATAGGATTAGTGTTGTGGTCT